TGTTGAATGTTGAAATTCAGTTTTGCTTGAAATGTAGCTTTCTTAACCCAACTGCAAAAAAAAATTCTCCATATGATAAATAACAACTGGATAATAATCATACCAGATAAATAAAATGGTCTGTGTTTCACAGAAAGAAGTTAAATGCAACTGTTTACTTTTCTGAGTGTTTTTTTCTGCTAGTGTTATAGCTCCTGACTTCTTAGTATGTTGACTTTGCTTAGCAGGAGTCTCAGAGTATTAAGCAGTAAATCCCAGATGAGCAGGCTAGCTAAGGATAACCATATGAGCTTCACAATGATATGGAAATGTTAAAGTCTGGTGTTAGACCTTTTTGAACAGGAATATGTAATTACTGAAAAAAAATGCATGCTCAAAATATCTTGAGTATCTGTAGGTTCTGAATATTGTTTAAAACAGCCCTGAAACTGCTGTACCTAACCGCAAGGAGCTGACAATGAGATGTAGCACAGAGTACATGATTATGTAACTACAAATGGGTCTAAAAACCCTATTTAGCTTTTCCTAACCCACATCCTGATGTGAAAGCAGCTTGACCATTAAGTTACTATTGTTTATAATTTTTTCTTTGATTTCTGAAGCAAGGCAAGGACATATTTCAATGGTGCAATGACTAGTGCAGATGGCAAGATAACTGGCACCTCAGATGAGCACAGTGAATGCCAGGCAGCTATGAGAATGTGAAAAAAAGCAGCATATAAAGCTAGTATGAAATTAGACACAAATTCTCCAATTAAAAAAGAACTTCAGATTATGACCAGCATCTGCCCAAACAAATGCTTCCCTTAAATCAGACAGCAATAATGCTGACCTGAATCTCTGAGAAGCTTACAACTTGTTAGCAAAATGTTCTCTTTGTTGAAACTTGTACATACTTCATATTTTAACACATTTCTTCTTCTAAGCACCTAAACCCAGTTTGATTTGCTATTGTGGTTTAAACACAGCCATGCAGTCTCTCTCTCATTCCCCCCCTTCCTCCCCCCTATCCCAGAGGGATGGGGTGGAGAATCAAAAGAATGTAACTCCCATGGGCTGAGATAAGAACAGTCCAGTAACTAAGGTATAACACAAACCACTACTGGTACCACCAATAATAAAAATGATAAGGGAAATAACAGGAAAGAATACAACCACTCACCACCTGCTGACAAATACCCAGCCCAACCGAGCAGTGATCTAGCCCTTCCGGGTAACTGCCTCCAGTTTTACACCCTGGGACCCTGGGCATGACATGCTGTGGTATGGAATACCTCTTTGGTCAGTTTGGGTCAGGTGTCCTGTCTCTGCTTCCTCCTGGCTTCCCCTCCTCCCTGGCAGAGCATGAGGCTCACAAAGTCCTTGGTCAGAGTAAACATGACTTAGCAACAACTAAAAACATTGATGTTATCAGTGCTGTTCCCAGGCCAAAAGATAAAAACACAGCACTGCACCAGCTAAGAAAGAGAAAAAATGACTGCTACTGCTGAACCCAGGACAGCTATATGGTATAATTAATGGTTTATATGGAAGTCAGAGGAAAAACTATCTTTTTTATATTTATATCTTGACTGCTGTAAAACCTCATTTTGACAATGCAACATCACTAACGCATGCTTTAAAACAAAGGAAGAAACATATTCCTGAGTTCACATAGAAGAGATCAAGAAATTACTGCATTTTTATAGTTCATCATGCATTGAGGATGCTCTTGCAAGAAAATTGAAGATAAAATTTATCTTTGGAAGTGAAATGAAGGGGGAAATAAGAGGATCTCAGTTTCTCATTCTTTACTCTGTCATCAATATTAACTTTTGCCTGTTTACCACTGAAGCTCCTATTCCTCCTCTGCCTCTGATGCTTTCAGGGAGAAGACAGCGATACAAATGAGGCATTTGCCTCCAGCTCCTATGAGATTGGCCACCAGCTGCTCAATGACCTTGAGGCAATGAGAAAACATACAGAACTATGGTATTTTCTAAACACTTTCTACTGGTAAACTTTGAACAGGATGGGTTATAGAAATGTGACAAGATTACATAGATTAGAACATAGAATTCTAGTTGCTTGTGTGATACTCAACTCTGACAGTCAAGGTAGACTTGAAGATTATTCTGAAGCCCAACTCCAGCTATGGTCCATCTCAGTTAAGCTCTCATTACCTGTCCACCTCGATTAGTCTGATTTTACTGCTACTTTTCTTTGAGCTCAACACTTTCTGCAGTGTTTCAAATTCACTTTGTTTTGATGGTCTTAAGCACAGCAGTTCTGTCAGCAGTGATCCCTAAGTGCTCCTCTTCGGCTTCACATTTATTCTTTACCTCTCCTTACCTCTTTGTCAGGGACTAGCCTAAAAGGTAGTCCACACATTTGGTTGCACAGGAGCTCAACTTTGGGTATCAAAGATGCCAATGTTAATAGCTTTAAGTGAACTATGTTGTAGCAGGTTGGCTTATGTGGCTTAGAACTGTCAAGACTTCCCTTCAGCTTGACCCTAAATATCAGCATGGGCAGATCCTGTGCCTCCTTTTGAGAGGTTTCTTTTTGTGTCTTCCAACACAACACAAGTCCTTATGCTTTTTCAGTGGAAGACGCGTGCCAGATACATCTTTTGTCTGACTTGCGTAGTTGATCTTACGTATGTTGAATGCTGTGAGAAGAAACACTAGAGTCAAAATATTGGGCAAACGGGAAGGGCACAGAGTTTACATTTGAAGTTCAGTGGAGATTCAAACGTAAAATTACTTTTCTTCTACTAGTGTCTGAGTTTTCTTGGCTTCTCTTAAGGGAGGGCACTGATCACCTTGGGGAAAAGAAACGTAGGTTTGCACCTTTTGTGCTGTTTGCATTAAAGATCTTTTGTCTAATTTTGGGAAGATGCTTTTATGTGACTGCTTGAGCTCTCCAGATAATCCTTATCTTTTGTTTATAGACTACATTGCCTAGAGTAAATTGCTATCACTGTGAAGAATTTTCTCATGAGTGGATGATTACTTAGTATCTACTTGACATCCCTGGTTTGTAGATGCATGCTGTGTTACAAGATGAACCTTTCTCTTAAATATTTCTTAACTTTGAAGAACTTCCTACTAACAGCAAAATACTAGGGACCAAATCCTCAGGTACAGTAAATCAATGTCTTTCTATTAAGCCAATGGAAACTGTTGATTTACAGCTACTGAATATCTTGCCCTAGATATTGATTCGATTTCTTGTTTTCTAGTGGGAATAGGGCCTGTTTAGCTTCTGCTTTCTCTTCTCCTTCTGCATATAAAAAATTTGATTCTTTCAATAATAAATTCTACAGCATTTTTTTTCCCACTACAAAATAAAATTCCTTAAGAACATTTATTGAAGTGCATTCATTTATTTGTGCAAAATTGCTGCCATCTTCACTTTCATCTCATTTTTCATGGTGTCCAAATTAAATATTTTATTCATTGGTTGCAGTTGTGCCCACCATGTATATTACTTTGTCGTGATGGAATGAGATTGATGTGCTGCTTTGTAATCACCTATCTATACATGCCATCTTTATCAATACTGGTTCGTTTTAATTTTTCTTTGCCAAGAGACAAGTGCAGAAAATCAAATAAACTGGTGTTATATTGTTTCAAAATTTAGTTTATTACATGAAATTTGAAAAGTGCTAGCAAAATAATGGGAGACAGCTGGAATAATTCCAGACCATTCTTGGAAGGCTCCGCACTATAATCAGTTGAGTTTTTTGTCAATGTGCCTGTAGGATTTGATGGGTAAATATTACTATCATTAAAACATATTCAGCTTGAAGAAGAGTCTGCAAGTGTGTTGTTGCACTGAGAAATTAATATAAAAAATTACTCTCTTTCTATTTTAGTGCAGAGAGCTTTGTTTTAATCTTTTTTGTAGCAATTCAAAGACTGTTTTTTTATGTATTAAGCATACATACACATAATATCCTACTTTTATAGTGTGTGATCATACTGTATCACATTTTCTCCATCTTAGAGTCTACTAAAAGTATATTTTCTGATTTTTTTTGTTAGCTTTTTGGAGCAATGTCATTTTTCATTTTGTGCATTGGTTAGCACACGACCTAGTGCTGGCTCATGAATACAGCCAGAATTGCTGTATGGTTTTGTTACAGTGCAGTCTTCTTATTTTACTTTTGACGTGCTTAATGTACAAAGACCTTCCTCTGTTCTGTGAAAATGTTAATACAAAAGCCTTTCCCAACAGAGCCATAGGTTTTCTCTCCTGGCTGTTCAACATATCTGAGGTACAGTGTAAGACATAGGGTCTTATATTTCTTTAAGACCACATGCATGCATATATGTGTATGCGTATGCTTGAAAGAAATGCTGAAAGTCATTGACTGCTAGGTAACTTCAGGACTTAAATAGCGCGCAGATCCATGTAAAGTTAGTGTGTGAGTATCATGATTGAAAATATGACTACATGGGTGACTATTAATCTTAGCAGAGTCATTTGCAAAATACTCAGTTTGAAAGGTTCTTTTGGTGAGTCTGTGTGCTTAAAAGGGAATGTATGCTAAAATAACTGGTCTAAATGTAAATATCAATGTGCCTTGTTCCAACAGCACCTAAAAAGAATTTCAAACTAGAATTCAATCAGTTTCTAAAAGGTTTTGCCAGACCTGAAAGTTTTTTTAAAAAAACAAACCAAAACACAACATGGTTCTAGAATGCTTGCAAAAAAGGGAAGCAAGATACAAATATAAAAATAAATAACTGAACATATACACTGATTTAGTGGCTGTCACTGTTTCATAACACAACCATTTATAACTTGGTCATATCAACAGCACTTCAAAGCGTGATGAGATAATGACATTTAGGTACTCAGCAAAGCAGAAGAACATATACCATGGTTTTGATAAGATATATTTGCATTCTGTACAGGCAGTGGTGGCCATGTATTCTGTTTGTCATTACATACTACCTGTAAAGCATGTTTGTCTCCTGTTAAACTATATGAACAGTCACATCTGATTTTTTTTTTTTTTTTTTCCCAGCATTGGACCAAATTTTGGACAGAACCAAGTTCAATTGAAATTAATAGAGATATTCCCACACAATTCCCTGTCTTTAGGTTTGGGAAATTTGCATCAACATCTTTCTACTTGTTCTGTTTCACAGTGTAGCCATGTTCATTATAGCCTGGCCACTGGCCCTCGGGTACAGTGTGGAGGCCAAACTACATCACTCATACGTGTACAAAACCACAAGGAAATTATTTGGGTTTTTTACCATCAAGCTGTTCCACCTCTCCAAATTGCACCTTCATTTTAGTAGGTCCTGGTATCCCACTTCAGGCTTGTGGTGCTTGAATAGGGGTGCTGTTGGAGAGTTATTGCATTGTCAGTCCTTGAAAGATGCAGAATTAGATTTCAGATACTTAAAGTAGTTCTCTAGACCAAAAATATTGATTGTCTACAAAATGAAACTTTTATTGACTCCTTAATTTTCACTGTGTCAGAAATTATTTCTAATGTTTTGCCTAATAAAACTTGCTTTCAAGATGTTGAACAGCTGCTACCTTTATTCATATTTGTACTTAGAAGCTCTATTTTGCAAGATATTGGAAATCACTCTAAAAGAAGCAAATGTCTTTTGTACCACTGAAGTAGCCACAGTCGGGGAACAATCTCCTCAAATATAATTTCAATCTTATTAGACACATTTTAGGTTAAACTCATTCTCGAGAATTGTGTTAATAAATAAAACTTATAAACATATTTATATGCTATGAAAATTCCAGGAATGTTAGTGTTCATATGCTTAGCAAAACACATATTTAATACCTGCCAAATGCAATATACATTCCAAACTGATAAAGAATCCCATAATTCAGGATTTTTCAAATATACAGGTTACTGGAATTACACCAGCAGCCATGTATAGCTACAGTTACTTCTAAATTCTCATATCCATATTATGTTATGCATGCCCGTGCTCACTGTTTTGTTATTCCTGGTACTATCTGAAGACTAATACTCTAATCAACAAGATTAAAGCTGTCAAAATTTGCCCCACTGGAAGTTTTGATTGTGTGCTGAACCTGGACTTGCATTCCTGATTTTGGTGTGGCATCCACAGTCGGCAGCTCAAATGCAAACTGCAGCCTAAGTTAATTTTTTAAGAGCCTAATTTAGTAAGGTAGTAACCGTAGGTATATATGGTTAAATATGGGATTTGCCAAGATTATGGCTGGAGGCCTCTATCAAAGGACTGTAGATTTAGATAACATCAGCACATTTTATAATGTTGGACATCAGCAGTGTCAGGCATCATGAAACAGATAAAAGGGTGAAGATGCTATGGGCCATAAGAATTACACTCCAACCAGTTGAAGGCAAAAATGATTAAGCCAAAAAAATGTTAAAAATCTAGAAGGAGTCCGTGTACAAATAAGAGAAACACTATGTGATGTACAATAAAGTGAAGGTTTTTAACAACTTGAGGTTCCTCAAAACTCGTGCTTGTTTTCTTTTTCCACACTTTTTATGCTTCAAGTGGATAGGTGGGGGATGGTTACACTGCAGTGTTCAATACAGAGCAGCTTTCTACCTGAAAAAGATTGGTCATTATTAAGTTATTTCACAGACAAGTTCCCATGTTAAGCTGAAATCACTAACCTGAGAGTGAACGTTCATGGTCCGTGACCATTCACTGTATCACTATATGTAAATGTGTTCTGAGTACTTGCTTGTTGATTGACTGAATAAGTCTTTCAGTGCAAGTTTTAGAGCACAAAGAAAGAAGGCAGGTTATAAAGAATATAAAATAAACTTCAGTAAAGACCTCTTAGGCTCAAGTCTGAGCCTGACTGGGTAAAACCACATTTTCGTTAATATAAGAGTACAGCTGGACTTTTCAATAAGACAGTAATAAAGAGAAAGAATGTCAGCAATGAAAATGTATAAATGCATAAAACACATATTCAAGCTCCATTATTTTTTAAGCTTTTATTACTTGTATCACTGAAAATATTGCTTTTATATTATTTTTTTTACAATGAGATATATTTTGTTAAAGAAGTTATTTTCTTTGTCTTTCATGGAATTACCTCAATTATCTTGTAAGTAAGTGAAAAAGTGCATTTCATTTTTCTTCATTATGTTTTTAATGTCTCACTACAAATACAGAAAAATAGAAAGACAAGCACTACTCTGGCAACCAGGCTATGGCATCTGCTGTTCCATGTGTTGTATGTCACTGAGTAATGGTAAAGATGTGCTAGTCTGAATAGAACCTCTTCAAAGGAATAACCTGTCACAAGCTAGTAAAGTCCCTAGTGCTAACAATAATATTATTATCTAGAGACAACGTGAGATGCATACAATGGAAGCTTCCTGGAGTGGAGAAAACATTAGTGGAACTTTTGCATCTATAAATGTAATATATGCTGCCCTGACATGGCAATGAGTAGATAAACTGATAAATATAGTTAGAAGGACATATCTGCTTATTTCAATAGTCGTAAGTTGGATTGTTGATGTAGTGTATGTATTCCCTAAAGTAAGCAGGGTTAATTCTTAAGAAAGAGAATTGTGTGGCAAAAGAAAGTCCTTCAGAGTCTTTTAACTCTATTGAATTGAAGCTACTAGGCTAATCTTTTCCTTTGTGTTTCCAAGGAGGATATAAAGGAAAATGAACCAACACTAGGAGAAGAGTCATTTCATTGTATCACTGGTGCCTTCAGTTTATTTAGCCTTTGAAAGAAAGATGCACATGATTGAAAGAGAAGATGCACATGATTACCTCAAAGCCGGAGCTCAAGCTCTTGCTAATGTAGACCAGTCCATAGGTGAGCCATGATGACCAGCACTGCCATCTTCAACTGTTGCTGCAGATAGTGGAGCCCTGCGCCAGAAAAAACGTTTGAAGCAAGGGGATGGTAAGTTGAAAAGAGGGAGAAGCAATAAGAAAAACAGACAGAAGGAGAGGAAGTCTTAGTCCCTTACCAGGAATTGAACATAGGAGCGAAGAACATCACCAAGTCTTTAATACAGCTGATTGCAGGAATATAATTCCTGTTTGTGGTAGTTTCAGGCTTTCACATATGTATTTGTCCCTTCAGACATTTTTTGGATAATGATATTTTGAAAAGGCACTAAAACTCTGGTTAAAAGGATATATTTTCTATCCTCATTTTTATTCCTTTATTTCTGCCCTCTTTTTGAATGACCAGACAGTGTAGTCAAAACCTCAGCTGTCTTTTAGAAAATGATATCAAAATCAGAAATCTGTTGTAAACCATTCAAGTGAGTGGCAAATACCTGTCATCAGAAAAAAAAGTATCCGGCATATTGTGATCAGATGTAATTTTTCTATTGTTTATCTGTAATTTTTGCAAGGTTTCTACAAAACAAAACCTTATATAACAGCGTGGATGATATGCAAAAAGATATCTGTTCAATATCTCCAGCGGTAGCAACTCTGTTTTTTCTACAGTAACTTCAGGATCCTAGTGGAAAACTGTAAGGAAGAGTTATCTGAAGAAATAATTCAACAAAAAATTCTGAATAATGAAAGCATATAGGAAAATGTGGTGAGTGTTTATAAATAGAAGAAACAAAGACGTCAAAATATTTATTGCGAATTCTGTTTCCCAGCAAAAACCAGAAAACATAACAAAAATACCAAAAAAAAACACCCCACACCAAAACCCCCAAACTGGAAAGAAAAGTTCAAGTGGCTGCTATTTGAAATGAATGAGCAGTGGAGATTGGCCTACATGAATGCAGAGGTTTATAAAGGGAACAGACTGCTTGAATGGGAGATTAGCATTATTATTTCAGAAGTTAGACATTCAATGCATTCAATTTTAGTTTTCTAATGATTTAATTCCTAATATTTTAAAATAAGTCTCAGAAATATTAAATAACTGAGAATATTTACCTTTGACTGTATTATATACTTCAAACAGCTGCTGATGCTGAAACGAGTAATATCAAGTAGGCATATAGATAAATTAATAAGAAGGCATATAGCTAATATGCTCTTTTCTTTGACTGACTACTTTCTGGATTCTCCTGTTCAATATTTCTTCCTCCTCAACAGAAAAACAGAGACATTGTGCATGCAGAGTAGCTCAATGCATATGCTAAACCGCTGTATTGACATGCTGTTAGTTCCACTCACGAGATCCTGCGTTCGGTCATTAAGAATGCCATCAGCTTGAGAAATGCTTGTAAGGCTTAACAAAACTTAGGACACCCTACGTTCTGTGGTCTGGTTGTGCTGTGTGATGAAGTAAAGGGAAAACTTAGTCTGACGGAAACTCAGGAGTGGCTCTCCAAGCCAACCTTTACTCTGTCACCTAAACAAAAAGATCACAGTGAAAGGTACTACAGGCTTACTGTAAAGCTGTGCCTCCTAGAAAAGATATGGGGCAGTACAGACTTTCTACAAAATAAGTCAGACCCCAGGTTTATTCTGGAAGCAACATGTATATAGGTGAGTGGTTATTCACTTTCCATGAGCACCAAACCTGGTTTAAGGTCAGTCTCAAACGTGATGGTTAGAGCAGCTTCTGGAGGAGGGTAATAGGAGCTCCCTCAAGGACATAACTTGTTAAGTATCAAAAGCATCAGACTATGGTACAAAGTATAGGATGTCTGGTTGCTTTTTTTTTAAAAAAATGAAATTTCTTCATTGTGCATTTGGTGTGTGGTGAAATCTGTACCTTCTGGATATTCAGGCATTCTGTATCCCACAGGGACTTAAAAGGGTCTTATATGCCTTGCAGCTCTGGCTGGGAAGTTCTGAGCAATCATAAAAGTAAAACTATATATATGTAGTTTTCAGACAAAACACGGAGCTCCATATGAGCTCAAGGGTAGGTAGCTGTTGAACAAGGAACTTTTTCTCATAAATTTTGGGCTTAAAGATTAGTTGTCTGTGTAAGTCCTGTGTCAGGTGTATAACTCTAAAGTCTTAGCAAGTTTTAGCTTTTGGTTGTCCTATGAAGCAAACATTGCTTGAAGGCAGCAGGACATCTTTGAAATGTTTCTGTCATCACTTATTCAAAATAAATGAAGGAAAACTTTTTCTCTGAACAGAAGTATTACATGCCCAAAGGAATCAGGCAGTCCCTTATGGTGTTTCATTTTTTCTCAAAATGAAAAATATTTGTTCTAACATTAAGCTCCAATCTCTTATATTCAAGCTTTTTTGTCTCACCTTTCATATACATGCTTTTATATATACATTAATATATATGCCCATATATAAAAAAATAATTTTTTTTTACATTCTTGCTTAGACAAAACTGATCTGATTTTCCTAAATCTTCCCCCATAGGTCATGTTCTTTACAGTTTTCTCAGCCCACCTGAATGTGATTTCATCTAGATGTTAATTCTCTGGTTTGCATACTAGAACATTAGAATTTATTATAGAAATTAAAAAAGCCTTACTAAAGTCCAAATATACCTTAGCTGTGACTTTTCCCTTAGCCAGCCAGGCCAGTAATCAAAGAAAGAAATTAGATTGACTTGACATGTTTTGCTCCTGGTAAATACATATTTTCAGGTTTTTATCACCATCTTATTCTCTTGTGCCTTATAAAGGATTTTTAGTAAATTGTCCCAGAATTTTTTGAGGAAGAACAGTGCGGTGACTGGTTTGTACTTTCCCAAGAGAGATATTTTCTCCTTTTTGAAGTATGACATTGTGATTCCCTCATTTTATCTTCAGGGAATTCTTCATCAATTTTACAAGGTAAGTGCTGTGATTCAGAGACTGCAGTCACTTAAGTATACTTAATAGAAATTCACTGGTCTAAGCTAAATAGCAAATCTCTGTCTTTTTTGCTTTCCTTTTCCATGTTTAGGAAGATATGCCCATTTCCTTAAAAAAATTAATTTAATTAAATATTGGATCATAGTTAACATTTATTTGAAGATTGAAATAAAGCATTAGATACCTCAGCCTTCCTTGAGTCATTCATTATTTCATCTCCTTCTTAATACATCCTTTACTTCTTTAATGTGTAGTGTATTTGTAGAACCTTTTCTTGTTGCTTGTTATGGCCCTTGTTAATTATAATTCATTTTAGCCTTAGCCTGGCTAAGTTTAAGCTACATATCTGAGCAGTTCTTTTACAGGCTTAAGTATGTGCCCTTCTTTCCTTTCATGTGCAGTTTGTTTTTCCATCTTCATTAAATTGCTGCTAATACAGTCAAAATGACTTCTACTAGACTTGTCCTTGAGAGACTTTCAGTTGTGTACTTGGCATAATGTTTCCAGTACCCACCAGTACTCACACCTTTAAAAAACCTGAAATTATCCATTCAAAAGACCTTATCAGTAAATTGTTTCCATTGATGTTTGCTTTCTCAAAGTGCCATCCTTTTGTTACTTCTTTTTTTTCCCTTTTCCAACATCTCTTTAACTCATATTATTTTCCACTACAGTCAGAATCAGTAGCTGTTCTAATAATCCCCCTCCCAAAGAAAAGATTGTCTCTTGCGCATGCAGAAAACATTTTGGGCCCCACAGTCTAATTTTTTCCAAAATACAGGAAGGAAAGTCAGACACCAGTCACCAACAGGCTACTTCTCTTGGGTTGTCCTTGAATTTGTCTCTAAACAACCATATCCAACAGCCTGTCATTGATTTAGAGGTGGAGAAGTTGCTTCTTCTCTGAAGAGACTACCTTCTTTCTATCTCAACCAAAGTCATTAAAACTCTTCCACTGAATTTTTTTTTCTGAAGTTCAGAAAGCCCTCTTTATAAATAAACCCTCTACCACTGCATCTCAGGTACTTTTCATCCCTCCTAAGGTGTTTCCTTGTATACATACTATATTCCACTAGGAGTCACACCAATTAGTTAAGCCTTTAAGTTATCCCTTTTTATTACTCATATCCTTGTCATGTGCCTAGAATATATTTCATATACTCAGTTGCTTGTGACATTATTCTTTCACTTGCCTTATAGTTTCTCACTTTTTCATCTCACTTTTCAGAGAGAGGCTGGTTTCCTATTGCTCCTCTAAGAGGTACAAATGACTAAAGACAGCTCTTCTCTTTCACTTTTAGGTTTTTGGAAGCTAAGTATGCATGTTCACTGAGACCTGACTTTTTTTGCACTTGTAGACTGCTTCTCCATTCTCACTCCTGTCCTTAGTGTCACAAACAGACTCTCTTTTGCGATTTTGTGATTGCTCTAGAAGACAGTGACATTTTCCCCAGATTAGTGGTGGAAAAGTAGGGACTGTGCCAATAGATTTGAATCTGTTTGCCAGCTTGCAGTCTGATGAAACACAAAAGAATCCATCTGTTATGTTTGATATTCCTCCTTTGGAGTAAAGTGAGGAGAGTCCCAGAGCTAGAGTGATCACATCTAAAAGAAAAAAATGACAGCCTATTCTAAGCCATGGGGGTTTTATCTCTTATTTAATATCACAGATGAAAAATCAGTTTTTTCCACATGCCTGGATTTGGAAAAGCTTTGGGGTGGACTTGATAAAGGAAAAAGATAACACCAAGAGAAGTATTTCCAGCGATCTGTGAAGATCAACTTCTGTCTTTAAAAGTAGAGTAAGTCTGTGTGGGTAAGCCGGACTAGCTCACTTTGCTGTTAAAACAAAGTTCATTTGTGATTGCCTAGATACATTGTATCATTAGGTATTTCAGCAGCCTAAGTTGTAGCATCTCTTGGGAAGCATGATGCTGAAATAAAGGGACCTTCATTCCAAGGTCACTGACTTGGATCTGCCCCTAGGTGAAAGAGCAAAGTAAACAAAGCACCCTTGCCTGATGGCTTTTTGATTAAATGTGAAGAGATCCAATGGACAACAATCAAACATAGAAATGCCCAGATTGCAAAACTACTGTCAGAGTCACTGATGCCTCA